TTGTAATAAAATTACAAATAAATAAATTTTTATAAATTTGGAAAATTTTCAAACTTTTTTTTTTTTTTTAAATCCACAAAGGGGAATTCATTTTCCAAAAAAAAAAAAAAAAAAAAAGAAATCAAATAACCGACGAGAAAATGGAAAAAAATCAATGGAAATTTTAAATTCCTATAAAAAAAAATCCAAAAAAAAGGAATACGATAGCAAAAAATATAATGAGAAAAAAAGTAAAAATTTTCTTTGAAATTCTCTTCCCTTCTCCCCTCCTCTCTTCTCAAAAAAAAAACACAAAATCCAAAAGATCAAAAAATTTTTCCAAAAAAAAAAAATTTTTTCCTTTTCCTTTTACGATAAAAAAATTTTCTCTCCTTTTTTTTCAAATTTTAATATTTATGAATAATTTAAAAAAAAAAAAAAATTATATGTGTTGATACCGTTTCAAATCTTTTTCCCCTTTCTCCCCAAAAAATTCAAAAAAAAAAAAAAAAATTTCATTTCAATGAGAATAATAATAATTAAATTTGACTCTTGATAATAATCACTTTCAATGAAAACTATTCATCCGTGATTAACTCTCATCCTCCTTCGAATCAACCTTTTCCCCCTTTTAAGCGGTCATAAAGAAAACCGGAAGAAGATGATAAAGAAAAATCGAGTTTCCTGTAGTTAAAATTTACATTACATCATTTTCTCTCATCCTCTCTTTCTCACTTCCCATTCTTTCCCTTTTTCTTTCTTTTTTTTGTACATGAATAATTAATTAAAATTTCCTCTTTTTTTTTATTTTACCCCCCCCCATTTTCCACCCCCCGTTAAATTTAAAATTTGAAAAATTGTTTAAATAATTTTTAATTACATTTTCCTATTTATTTTACGAGTGGAAATTTTTTTACTGCTGGACCTGGAATCTCCCGGATGTCCTAATTTAAAATTACGACCTGAAAAATTTCAAAGCAAATAAAAAAAAAAGGATGAAGAAGAAGAAGAAAAAAAAAAAAAAAACCGCCGTCGCGATCGTAAAACAAATTAACAAACTAAAAATTTTATATGAAACCTTTTTTTTTTTTTTTTTGATCCTTTCGTGAAAATATTATATTATAGGTTATTTTTACCTGCAAACCTTTTCCGGTCCTTTTTTTTCGTCACTCTATCTCACTTTTTTTATATTTTTTCGAAGGTTAAACAAAAAATTTTCAAAAAAAAAAAAAAAAAATCGAAAATTTTGCGGATTATCAACGAATGTTTGATAAAGAAATATAAAAAACGACATTTTGTAATTGTCCAGAATGAAAATTCCTCACCTGGAATATTGGAAAAAAAAAACCCCCCCAACCCCTCCCACGGATATATAACAATGAAGATGAACCGAACCTGACAACGAGAAAGGAATGAAATGAAAAAAAAAAAAATTATTATGCATCGATGATTTTCCGATCGATCCATTCTTTTGACTCCATTTTTTTTTTTTTTTTGAAATGAAAAGTAAAAAAAATATAAATAAATAATTCATTTGATTATTTGCAACTTATCAATAAACTCCAAATAATAATAATAATACTAATAATAATAATACTAATAATAATAATAATAATAAACCGAATTAAATTCTTTAAAATTTTTTTTTTTTTTTTTTTTTACATAATACAAAAAAAAAAAAATAAAAGTTTTTATCGAACGATGTTGCGTTGAACACACACTCAAGAAAATGAAAAAAAAAAAATGGCAGAATCCTCTTTTATTCCTTTCTTTCTTTTTTTGCCCCCATCCCCCCTTTCAGCCCCCTTCATTCTCCTCTTCCTCCTCATCTAATTCAATAACTTTTAACCTTCTTCTTTTTTTTTTTTTTTTTTTAACCATGTTTTGTTTCCAATAAATTCTACTTTCGCGTCGCGACTATAAAATTATTCTTACTAAATATGCTTTCTCTCTCTCTCTCTCTCTCTCTATCTTTCTCTATCTTTCTCTATCTTTCCATCTACCAAAATAAATTAAGAAACAACGATATCAAATTTTAATTCGTTAAAAATCTTTTGCAAAAGAGTATAAAAAAAAAAAAAAAAACAAGAGAATTTTCCATTTTATTTTTTTTTTTGTTTTTCCTTTTCTTTCCTTTCTTTCGTTTTTTGCTTTCTTTTCGTTTTTTTTTTTTTTTCTTTTTCATTTGCTTAAATTTCAAAACGTGAATGTTAAATGATTTTTAACAAAGAAAAAAAAAACCTCCGCCGCTTTTAAACGACCGTGTTTTAAAACTTTTGTCGAATCCGTTGTATGAAAGAAAAAAAAAGAGAGAGAGAAACGATTTTAAACCTGTTTAAAAATTTACATTAAGGCAAAAAAAAAAAATTTGCGTCGAATTTTCATGGAAAAAAGCATCCGCGAGAAAAAATAAATTATTCACTAACAAAAAAAAAAGAAGCAGTAATGATGATAATAATAATAATAATTATCTTTAAAATTCCTTCCAGGATGTGATGGAAAAAAGAAAAAGACAAAAAAAAGAAAAACTTGAGAAAGAGAGAGAGAAAACTAAAGAAAAACCGTTTTTTAAAAAAAAACTTTTTTTTCAAATTAATAACAATTTCATTAATATGTAATTGTTATTTAACGAACGAAATGTTTAAATTACGCAAATTAAAACTAATTACGTTTAAAAAAAAAAGAAATTTAATAAAAAAAACAACAGCAACAACAGCAACGGTTTTTTTTTATTAAAAAAAAAAATGAAAATGAAAAAGAAAATGCAAAAAAAAAAAAAAAATTTGTTTTTATACATATAAATTCATATACAAGAGACTTAATTAAATAAAGTCGATTTTTGATTGGTCGGAATACTCAGTCGCGTATTAAACGTAACTTAAAAAGATTATGATTAATACGAATTGGTAACGATTCCCAAAGTTCTTTTTATAATCTGTTTTTTCTTCATAATTTCTACCTTTACCGCATTAATAATAAAAAGAAAAGTTTTACTTTATCATCCAAGAGCTTTCATTTTGAAAAAAAAAAAAAAAAAATCGCCGGATAAAACGACGAGAAAAATAATAATAATAATAATGACGTCGACGACGACGATAATGATAATGATGATAACACTAATGATGATTTTTTTTTTTTTAAATTTCTTTTAATTAAAAAAATAAAAATAAATTTATTTTTTTCTTTTTTACAAAGGTATAAATAAAAAGATTATTTTCCTTTTTCTTTTTCCTTTTTTTTTTTTTTTGCAAATCCATTCGTGTGTGAAAAGCTTTTCTTTTATTATTACTTATTATTACTAAAGATTGACGCAAATAAATTTTTATTTTCAGGTAAATAATTATTTCGAAAAAATTATTAAAAAATTTTTTGGTTTTCTTTTATATTTATTTATTTATTTTTTTTTAAATATAAAATTATGATGGTGATGATGACGTCATCGTCGTCGCCGTCGTTACTATGTCCACGTATTCTCGTTCCCCTTTTTTTTTTGTTTATTACAAAAAAAGAAAAATTAGATTCATTTACACGTAAAAGCCCCAATAAAAAACAAAAACAAAAAACAATGAGAGTGAGAAAGAAAAATGAAAAAAAACATTTTGAAACGAAAAAAAAAAAAAAAATTTTTTTTTTTGACAAAATAAAATAGTAGGCTACGGTTGAAAATAATAATGATGGCAACACTTTGTATTTCTACCCCGGAAAAAAAAAAAAAAAAAAAAAAAATTTTTTTTTTTTTTTACATTTTATCTAAAATGATAATTGATGACAGAAGAATTAAAAAACCACAAATTCGAATACGTCGATAATCCACGCCCTCGAAAAATTGGGGAGAGCCACGTAAAACAGAATACGAACGGGAATAAAACGACGAACCCACGGGAAAACTTTTTAAAAAAAAAAAATTAACAGAAATATGGGAACAAAAAAAAATTTCGTAAGATGAAAAAAAGAAAAATGAAGAGGAAATTACCATCCGACATGAAAAACTTAATTACACAATTATAATTTTCTTTAACATTCATTTCCATTCATTTTCTTTTCAAAAAAAAAAAAAATTTTCCTTTTACATTTTCTTAAAATAAATAGAAAAAAAAAACGTGAGAATGAAAATAAATTTTCAACGACGACAAAAAAAAAAAATTAAAAGGAAACAAAACGAATTCGAACGTATCGTCGCATTATTTTCAATTAATTACGCCATCTTAAAAAAATATTTTCGAGGTTTTTTTTTTTTTTTTTATTTAGAAAAATTATTTTTCTTCTCATCAATGAATAAAATTTATCGATTCGAATTTTCAAAACGGAAATGAATTAAAAAAAAAAAAAGAAAAACTTTTTTTTTTATTATTTTTCTTACTTTCATTTTTCTCCTCGCTCTCGTGAGACTAATTCGAACAAAAAATTAAAAAATTTTTTTTGTGGTGAAAACGGAAAATGAATAAGTCAAAAAAAATAAAAAAAATCAGAAAACTTTTTAACTCGCCCCCCCTTTCGTTTCTCCCCACCGTATCAAAAAAATCTCCCGAGAATTTAAAAATTTTAACAAAATAAAAATAAAAAAGAAAATTAATTTTTAAATTTTTCGGCCATTTTTGTTGTCTTTTCGAATTTTATTCACGTCGATTAAAGAACGTTCGCGAAATTTCCCCCCATTCCCTCGCCGAAAGTGACCCCCCCAAAAAAAAATAATCGATGATGTAAATTATTATGCATGAACGATGAGCATTTAATAAATTCAATTTTTTTCTTTTTTTCCACATCGTTCCCAACGTTAAAGCCCCCCTTTTTGTTACCCCTCCCCCCACTTCCTGGATTCAAAGACGTTTTTACTTAACTCTCCGATGATTTCACCATTTAAACACAACAAATATTTCACGGGAACATTATTTATTTATTTATTTAAAAAAAGCACGAGAACATTTTTTTTTTCCTATTTCCAGATCGTAAAATTCATTTTTCAAACCCCCCCCCCCCAGTTCTCTTGGGGAACCGAAATAAAATAAAAATTTTTTTTTTTTTTTTGTTTGTTTTTGTTTTTTTCCCCCGTGGTTTATTATTTAATACGGGAAATTATGTTCTTGTTTTTTTTTTTAATATAAAATTTACGGTAACCTTAACAACAACATTGGGTTGCCCTTGTCCAAAACAGAAAAATTGTATTTAAAAAAACAAAAAAAAAAAATTTTCTTCTTCTTCTTTTTCTTATTTCCCTTCAACAAGTTTTACGAGTTTGCATACAATTAATTCAACACAGTTAACTTAAAACTTTCATGAAAATTCAAGTAGTTGAAAAAAAAAAAAAAACTTTTACTCACAAGTTTATTCCAGAAAGTTTAAAATTCCGGACGACGTTTCTTTCTCCTACCTTTTCCCATTTCCCCCCACCCTCCATCCCTCTCCTTAACAGCACCTATTCCTTTTACAGATTGCCGGGTGAAACCTTTTTTCCCCAACAACAAGTTTTTAAGAATTTAAAAACGTCGACGGACGACGCCTCTTCCTTCCCTTCCTCCCCCCGTCCCTCGCTCAACCGCAAAAACAAAGTAAAATGTCGACACTTTTATCTCTCGTATTCCAAAAGGGATCCGACATGAAATAAGCGACAAAAACAAAAAAAATTCAAAAACGGAAACTTGATTTTTCACCGAGTTTTAAATTAGTATAAATGGTCATTATCCTTTTTTTCCGAAAGCTTTGATTGATCGTTACCCTACCCAAGACATAAAAATAAAACAGTTGGAAAAAATGGGAGAGTGGAGAGCGAGGGGGGTAAACTGAAAAACAAAACGAATGATAACGATAAATTTGAACGACCCTCGAAAACATTTTTCAAATTCATTCTCCTCTATTGAACGCCATCAACAAAAATTGCCTTTTTACAATGGAGTACAAAAGATAATGAAAGTAACAATTCGTGACGTAATAAAACGTTACCCAAATGATAATAATAATAATAAATAATAATAATAATAATAACAACATTATGCATAAGTGGAAAATGTAAATTTAACTTACCCCCGACTCCGCTGGAAAAGTAAATAGATAATAATATCCATCCATTCATGTTCGGACACGAATTATTTTTTGTTTCCAGACTTTGGAGAATTTTCAATCAATTTTTCTTTTTTCTTTTCCCGTTCTCTTTCGTCGAAAATCCCTTTTCAAAATTTTCCAAGAAGAAAAAAAAAAAGGAAAAGAAGTTACGTAAAATGAAATAACGATGATAATGATGATCATGTTTTCAATGATGTTTTACTCTTGGCTTGTTTTAATTCCTCCATGATTTTCAAATTTTTACATTTCAATTCCGTACATTCTTTTTTCAATTCCCGAATTCTTTCCTCGAATTTTTCCGTTGTTGTTTTCAATTCGGATTTCCAAGCGTCGTTTAATTTCATTTGTGATTCCACGTGATTTTCCAATTCCGTCATTTGAGCGATTCGTAATTCGTTTAATTTTTTCATTTTCGATTTTAATTTATCGCAATGACATTTGCTCGCGATTTTCTCCAGGTTCCTATTCTTTTCCTGGAGCTCTTGAACCTGACTTATGAAATATTCACACCTTTTCGTGCTTTCGTTTAACTCGTTTATTTTATCCTCGTTTTGTGATTTTAAATTATTTATCATTTCCTCGAACGTTATTTCCCGTTTTTCTCTCTCGCGAACGAGTGATTCGTGTTTTTCCAAAAGTTCCGAAAATTTCGCTTGCAATTTTTTTTTTTCCGATGTGACCTCGTCGTGACTCAATTTAACCATTTCCAATTCTTTGTAAACCGTATCCAATTGATTTTCCAATATTGTTATCTCAGTTTCCGAACCTTTTATCAATGTAATCTTTTCCTTGTCTAATTTCGAAGTCGTTTGTTTTTCTAATTTTTTATACTTGAACGAAAGTTTTTTACTATCTTCTTTGATTTTTTCATATTCGCTCTTCACGTCCGTTAATTCTTTTAAAACGTTATTCAATTTCGTTTGACATTTTTTTTCCGCTTCTTCAACTTCTGCAGCCACTTTTTTACCAGCTTCTTCAATGACGTGATCGAGACACAATTGCAACCTGTTGACTTCTTCTTGCAATTTTTGTTCTCTAAAAAGAGCGGAATCTTTTTCGAAAATTGCTTTTTCTGCAACGTCCAATGCTTCTGCTACTTTATTTTTAGATTCGTTATTATTATTAATTAATTCTTGAATATTTCTACTGTACACGTCTAATTTTTTTTCAAGTTCGTTTCGAGACTGAATTACGCATTCGTGAGTTGCGTTAAGCAATGTATATTCTCGTTGTATTTTAATATATTTTTCTTTCAATTCCAATTTTTTCACCTTTAAATCTTCCAGTAATTTACAGTTTGACTCCAAGTTTAACGTCAACTTGGCTATTTCAGTTTTCAAATTAATATTATCATTTTCTACTTGGTCTCTGTCATTGAGTACAATTTCTAAATGGTCTTTGGTATTTTTTAATTTTGCTTCCAATACACTTTTATTAGCAATATAAGTTGAATTAACATTTTCTGTCACTTTAGACACATTTTCCTTTTCCTGAATTGCTTCTTGTTCTAATTTTTCAATCAAACTTAAACTTGTCTCATACAATTCTAAAGTTTTGTTTTTTTCATTCTGACATAAATCTAATTGCCTTTGCAAGTTTAAAACCACTTGTGATTTAAATACATCAAAAGATTCATCTTGATGATTTTCTGATATTTTTTGTTTAAATTCTATTTCCAGTAAACTATTAAGCCTTTCATTCTCCGATATTAACTGTAATATTTCCTCTTTTAAATTTTTATGATCCTCTTTGCTAACTTCTATCTGTATTTGCATTGAACGAATGACACTTTCATATTCGCTTATTAAATTTAATGTCATGATATTCTCTCCAATGTTAGTCATAATTTAAAAATGTAAATTTAAAAATCAAATTCTTCTAAATAATTATAATAATTATTATAATGAAATTTTATCCTGGTTGTATTTAAAAATTACTGTTTGAAATTATACTGGTTCCATCATAATGACTGTCACTGTCATTTCTTTACATAAATAATTGTTTAAATTTTACAACATCATTTTTTTTTTGTTTCTTTTTGTAATGTAATACATGACTTGATATAATTTAATTGGTTTTTAATATTTAATTATCAAATAATGTAAAAATTTTAAATTGTAAATTTAACTTTAACCCCAATTGGTTAACTTTTTTAATTTATCAAAGTGAGTTAAAAACAACAACATTGTGATCAAATTTTAAAAAGCCTCCAGTAGTACACTAATTAACAAGAAAAAAAAAAAACCCATTTGTAAAAACTTCCTTTTTGAATAAATTATAAGTGAGTAATATACTTTAACAACAACATAATTTTTCCATGTTATTTTATAAGAAGAAGAAAAACAACAACTACAAAATTAACAACAACAATAATAATAACAACACTTGTTTTGAATACTGTTTTATTTAAAAATTAAAAAAAACAATTCACTTCGTTTTATATAATGAAATAAATCAAAATTGATAATAAAACGTTAAAATTTAAAAAAAAATTTTTACATCAATGCATTACACAAAAATAGAAAACAAAAACATGTTACCATACAAAGACAAAAAAACCGTTTGTTTTGATTAACGCCATAACAACGTAACGTACGCGAACCCTGACGGACGGGGAAAAAAATTCCCCGGTCATTTTAATGCCACGTCATAATATCCCTCCTAATTTTAAAATTAAATTAGTCATTTAAAAAAAACTAATCTTACCTCGTCTACTAATATAAATTCACCGGTATATTCCAAAATTCTAGAATACTGAGCAACTCCTAAAATAAAATAAAAAATTTTAAAAGAATTTCTTTTCTTTGTTTTAATTTAAAAAAAAAAAATTCGTTTTTATTTCAGATTAAATTAAAATTAAAAAAAAAAATTTTAAGAGTTATATAAAAAACTTCTTGACTTATATTATTCTATGAATACAATTAATCTTTTTTTTTAAAATTTAGAAATAAAAGAGCAAAAAAAGAATATTTTTAAAAAAGAGAAAATAATAATAATGATAAGTAAAATAGGTAGACTATTACCTTTAACAAAAAAAAGAAAAAAAGTTATTTTTTTTTTTTACGTTAGTAACCTAAATATAGTTTTAAAAAAAAGAAGGAAAAATTGCACGATTAATTAATAATAAATTTTTAATGGGTTTTGATGGATTTTATTTAATGTAACTAGATATAAAACAATATTTACTAACTAAAAACAACTCTAATTAAAAAAAAAAAAAATAGATTTTTAATTTACGTTGTAACAAACAAAAAAAAAAAGAAAAAAAACCAAACTACAAAGTAAATAAATAATTTGAATTTTTTTTTTTTCGTTAGAACTT